GGTTGAGGGAATGTATAGAGTCCAAATTATTGACCAGAACCCAAGCAAGATGCACCTGTTTTCTTGGGACCTTAGGGTTGCTGGCCTCTTGTTTTCCCAGCCTGTCGTCTGGGGGAGGGGCCTGCTGTGCTGTTACTCAGGCAACCCTGTTTGGGCGGAGTTGCCCTGCCCCCCTGTGGCGGGGAATGGGCTAGTGGGAATCAGTTTTTTGGGGCTTTTGTTCTCTGGCGGCTTTCCACGTCTCTTCCGAGAGTCAGAGCAGAAGAGACCGTTTCCAACCCTCTGCCTCAGAGCAGAGAGATCGCAATCTGTTCTTCAGTGAGCTCTCCAGGCCACACTGTCTCCGTTTATGTCCGTGCTGCTATAAACTGCAGCGGCCTGGGTTGTGCGACCCCCCCACAGCGCTCCCAGTCCTGCCTCCAGGTCTGAGCAGGTCTCTGCCCTTTGTGCTTCTAAAACCGCCAGCCGCTCCCAGTTTGCATGTGGGACCCCGCTGCTCAGAGTTTCCGCCCCAGGGGCTGCCCTAAAGTCCTTTCCCCGCCGCTACCGGTCTGCGAGTCTGTGCCCCGTCCCCAGTGAGCGAGGCTGTCACTCATTGGCGGTGTAGGATCCCCACAGCCAGGCTCCCTCCCGCTGCCGTTTATCCTCCGATATCTGCCCGCGGAATCACGGCTCCCCACTTTGTACCTCGAAACCAACCGCTTGTGATATTCTGTTTGTAGAGGTCTAGATCGTCTTACATCTAAGGCTGATTTCGTGGGTGCTCAGAGTGGTCTGGTAGATATCCAGCTCAATTGTGGGGACCAGTTGAAATAGGGTCCCCTACTGCTCCGCCATCTTTAATTCTTTCTCCCAGAATCCTAATACTCTTTTTAAAGTATATAGAAATAATTTTAAGCACCAAACCCAGTATTTTGTATCTTTTCTTTTTTTTACTGAGATAATTTGGTCTTAATTTGTAATGCTTAGGCTACTTTTGGTAAGACTTTATGCATTCCCTTTTCTGCTCCTCTAAAGCCCCAGTGTAAAGATTTCATATTCAAAATTGCATTATCTATTACTTTATATTGTAACTTAAAACAATAAATCTGTCAAGGTTTAAAAAAAATAAAGTATACAGAAGCAGATAAGTCAGTTTTCCATGACACCCTTTATTTTGAACACGTTTTATCTTCTAAGGATCCTTTCAGATCATAGATTCAGAATTTTAAAAATAAAGCGGTGATATATATATATAATTGCTAAATATATATTTATATATATTTATAATGATTTTTTAAAATTACCTTTTCCTAGTTTACCACATTGACTATGTTATAAAGTATATTGAGAATTTTTTATATTTTATGATATAAAATAGCTAAATAGAAGAAATGAATGTAAAGTGACAATTTTCTTTTTTCTATTTTTTTTTTTTTTTTTTGGCAGGTTATTAACAAATTCAAACAGACTTACAACAACCAGAAATGCCGTATGGGCCCTCTCAAATTTATGTAGAGGCAAAAACCCTCCTCCAAACTTTAGTAAGGTATGAGTAAAATATACAAATTAAGGAATCTATATACATAAACTTTTAATTAAGTCTCCTTATAATAGACTTTCAGAGATTGAAGGAACGTTATGCCATTTTTTAGCAATTATTTTCTTTATTTACTAGACAATATTTGCACATATACAAAGTCTAGAGATATATAATAGGAAGTTTCCCTTTCTACTCTTATTTTACCTCATGATTGCCTCTCAGCAACCACTGTCACTTGATGTTTATGTATGTTAGTGTTGACTTTAGAAATCTTCTAGTCTAGTTCTTCTCATTTATATCCTATAAATGAAATTGAAGCCCCCAAAAGGGTTAAGGTAATTCATCCAGGTCCACTATTAGTTGTAAAATTGGAAAACTAATTAGTCCACAGTGGCTTGTGCTTTCTCAGTGTACTTTTTATCTGTTTAGAATATTTTTTTCCCCATCTGCTCATATTCTGCTAAAAGAATAGATTATTAATAAGTTTCCAATCTAGTTCTATTTTCTTACCAATAAGATGTTAAAAAGACAGAATGTAGGTAAATTTCTGGGCTACCATTATACTTCTTTTGAATTCAGTATCTATGAATGAAAGGGCAACATTGACTGTAGCACTAAGAAGAGCTCAAAATCTGGTGAGGATTTAGTGATAAAGTTTCTGGGGGCAAAAAATAATAAATTCCTAATTGAAAAATATGATGCATGAGTTGTATGCCTTCTCATTTATACTTTTACCATTCCAGTTTGAAAAATGCATGATCATTTTAGCCACGTTTCATCTGAACCACCAACATGACTTTAAAATCTCATTGGTACCATCATCTGTTGATCTTTTACCACACCCCATAGCATGTTATGGGTTCAATCATAATTCGTAAAATTTTTCCGTAACCATCCATGCCTATTCTATTCCATGTTTATTGACAAGTACTTAATATGACTAAGAAGCTAGTTTAAAGCATTTTAAAGTATGCTAAAAATAAAAGAGGGAACAAAATTTATTTTTTTTAAAGACTTGTATTTATTAGAGAGAGAGAAGAGAAAAGGCACACATGCACATGGGGGAGAGAATCTCAAGCAGACTCCATGCTGACCATGGGCCCCCCCACCCCACGCCAGTGCGGGGCTTGATCTCATGACCCATGAAATCGTGACCTGAGCCAAAATCAAGAGTCAGATGCTTAACTTACTGAGCCACCCAGGCACCCCCCAAATTACTGTTTTAATCAGAAATTTGGTTTAGTAGATATATATCTTAGAAAAGTTTTGAGTAAACTATATACCACTGCTCCCCAAGGAAGCAAGTTATGAAATAATATTGCAGCAATGGCCTTAGTTAGTTTAAAAAAATTTTTTATAATTTTCACTTTAATAGTAGAAGGATAAGGGATGAGTATTTGAACTGAGTATAATACAAGGAAAAGAATATTTATGTGGTACACAAGTATCCCTCAATGACCTTTTTTTTTTAAACATTCTATATAAAAACATCATTTAGCAATGATTATTATAGAATTGAAAGGAAAAAAATGTTCATATTTTGTCTGAGGAGATAATAAGGGTCAATTCAACTGATGATGGTGAATCCTTCACCAGCTATTTGTAGGTTTAAACTTGCATATGTAGAATTGGCTTGCTAATTATATATAGATTCATGGTTTTAGCAATTATAGTAATTTCTTTATTTTACCTCTTAAAAAATGGTATGGGATAACTGTGTTTTGATTGAGTTTTTACTGAGTGAACTTTGGTTTATGCATTGCTTTTCATTTTAAATTTCTTTAAAATACATTCCTTTTAAGAATTTGGAGGTTTTTACCCTTTGCTTTTAAAATAGTGTGCATCTCTATGTGTATATGTTGAGATAATAATTATGCGATAATAGTTGTAAATATATAATTAGTTTAAAATGCCATATTTCATTTTTCTTTTTTTTCTACTTAGTATTGGAATTTTTCGTAGGCATTGTTAAATTTTGAGATCTTTTTGTGTAATTATATTACATGGTTTTTAAGAGTTCTTTAGCCATAGACAAGCAGTAAAGATTTTTAAAAATTTTTATAATAACAATCATCTACTTTATTATAAAGGACTCATTTTTAAAAACTGTCTCATAGAGATGCTTTGCCTGAAGAATTTGCTTATTTGAAAAAAACTGAAATTTATAAAATTTATAATTTGTAAAACTGGTAGTCTAAACCACATTTTTCTAAGCTTCCTTTTAAAAAATTATTGTCTTTATGAGACATCTAATGGAACATTAAGGACTTTGAGAAGTTATATGAATCTTGAGAAGCCATGTGGTTATCTTAATTTCAGGCCAATTCACATTTATAATGGTAGATATTACTTTAACAGCTGGCAAAAAAAAAGGATTTCTCAATTAGGAGACTGTTTCTTATTTTCTCTTCCGTCCTACCTCTACTTCCTTCTCCATCCTCACTCTTAGTTTATGACCCTGCTCCTTCACTGAGAAAATTGAAGCACTCTGAAGAGAACTTCCGTAGATTACTACCATCATTACATTTGCCATCTTGTCATCATTTGTACTGCTATACATTCCTGTCATTGTTGGTTACTTTAGCCATGCTTCTTTATAAAGTCAATTCCTTTGTTTGGACACTACATAGCTTTCTGTTTTCCCTATTTAGGGTCATCGCTCCAGGTGCATCACTCCTTTCCTCTCCAACATTAGTAATTGTTTTACTCTCTCCTACACCATTCTCAATACTATAAAAATATACTGTTATTTCTCTCATGTTAAATCTTTTCTTATCCCTGAAAGCCCTATTAGCTCCCATGTTTATTGCCACCCCATTTCTTTGCTTCCTTTTATAGCAAAATTCCTCATTTGTCTATTCTCATTGTCTACTCTCTCTCCTTTCATTCTTGTTGAATCCTCTCCAGTCAAAATTTTCCCTCAGTCACTGCACTGAATCTGCTTTCACTAAGGGCACATGTGTCTTCACATTGTGAAATCCAGGGGTCAATGTTTAGACCTCATCTTAAATGACTTGCTACATCACAGTGGTGATTTCTCAGTCTTCATCTTACCTGATCTATTGCCTTCATATGACATATTTGATCACTTCCTCCTCCTATGTAATTTTTTTTCACTTGGTTTTCAGGCCACTACTCTCAAGTTTTCCTTCTACCTCAATGATTGCTCCTTCTCAGTTTCATATATTAGTTCCTCTTCTCTTTTTCCTACTAAAGTTGAGAGTACAAAGTGAATGGTTTTGGCTTTTTCTTATCTTTATCTGCATTCAATTTCTTGTTGATATTGCCCATTCTGTGACTTTAAATGTCATCCACATGCCAGCAACTTCCAGATTTCAGTGCTTGGCTCAGATCTTCTTTTTAACTCCAAACTCAGCATCTTTATTTGGATATCTAATAGACATCTTAAACCTGACATATTTAAAATGTAATTCCTGTTCTTTTCCCCCAGAACCTTCTGTGCCAACAGTTTTTCGTATCAGTTAATAGAATTTCATCTTCCATTATTAAATGAGGTACTTTAACATTTTTTGCCTGCTTTCTCTTTTATCTCATTCTCTACATTCACTCCATCAGTAAATCCTGTTGGCTGTACTTCTGAATTATATTCACGTAGGGGTTCCTCTAGCCAAATTTGGTACTATTTGAGGATCAAGATGAATTAAGGAAAGGAAATACTTTTTTTTTTTTTTATGATTTTATTTATTTGTTTGACACAGAGAGAGACAGCACAAGCAGGAGAAGCGGCAGGCAGAGGGAGAGGGAGAAGCAGACTCCCTGCTGAGCAGGGAGCCCAATGCAGGACTCGATCCCAGGACCCTGGGATCATGACCTGAGCAGAAGGCAGATGCTTAACCGACTGAGCCACCCAGGCGCCCCAGATTTTTTTTATTCAATGTGTTAAAAGTATTTCCTTTCCTTAGGGCCGCCTGGGAGGCTCAGTCGTTAAGCGTCTGCCTTCGGCTCAGGTCATGATCCCAGGGTCCTGGGATCGAGTCCCACTTTGGGCTCCCTGCTCAGCAGTGAGTCTGTTTCTCCCTCTACCTCCTGCTTCCCCTGCTTGTGTGTGCACACACTCTCTTCTCTCTGACAAATAAGTAAGTAAAAATCTTTAAAAAAAAAAAAAAAAAATCTGTGAGTCTATCCTAATACTAAAAATGGGGGAAGAAAGCTCTTTTTAACAGAAGAATCCCAATTAATACTTGTAGAAGGACTTCATATTAGAAAAGTCATTTACCATGCTAATAATTGATTTAGGCAGGAATCATCAGTGAGTTCTATAACATTTAGGTGAAAGATCGTTGGGAACAGAATATTGACATGGTTAGAAAGTATTGCCCTACAGAGTATTTATTAATTACAAAGAGGATAGGAGGGAGTTTTATTTACTGTTGAGAATTCTAGTGGAGTTTAGTCACCTTAACCAAATGATTAACATTACTAATAAAGGGAAAACTGACATTATGTGCCTTCAGATGTGTCATGACTAAAAATAACACATCATCACTTATGTAACGCTCTTGCTGGAAATGTTTAGTCTGAATCTAATAACGAGGAAACAGTAAGACAAATCAGAATTGAGGAATGGTTTGTGAAATAAATGTCCGGACTCTAAGAATATCAGCGGTGTGAAGGCACACAGATAGGCCGAGGAGCTATTCAAGATTAAAAGACGGCACACACCTATTAGAACGGTTAAAATCTAAAAAGCTAATAATACCAAGTGCTGACAAGATGGATAGCAACTGAAATTCTTAAACATCACTGATAGGAATGTAAAATGGCACAGACGCTTTAGTAAGAAGACAGTTTCTTACTGTGCTATTTAGCAATATGGTACTTACCCAAGGAAGAGGACATAGTATGTGTACAAAAAGACCTGTACATAAATGTTTATGAGAGCTTTATTCATAATCACCAAAAATTGGAAACAGCCCAAACGTACAATAGCTGGTGTATGGATAAACAAATTATGTTTCATTCATATGATGGAATATAACTCAACAATAAAGAAGAAGAAGCTACTGGTACATGCAACAACATGAGTGAATTTCACAAGAATTAAGCTAAACAAAAGAAGCCACACACAAATGCTATATCATGTATATTTCGTTAATATAATATTTTGGAAAAGACAAAACTATAGAAACAAAATCAGAGCAGTGATTGCCTAAAAGGGACAGGAGGGTAGTTTTAAAGATGATAGAAATATTCTATATCTTGATTGGGTGGTAGCTATACAACTGAATGTATTTGTCAGAACTCTCATTAGAACTGTACACCTGAAAAGAATTATTTTTACTGAATTTATACTTCAATAAACCTGATTTTTTTAAGATACTCTAACAAGTAAAAGTTAATTATTGATTAGATCATAGATTGAAATTAAGTTCTAGCTTAAAATATTTAAATTTGCTTTAGATCTTAGATAATATTATTGTACCAATGAAAAATTTTTGGATGTGACAATAACAATGTCTTAGAAGAATGTAAAGAAATGCCATTTTTCTTAGGAGATACATGCTGAAGGATGTAGGGGTGAAGTATCATGATAACATCTGCAGTTCTCAAATAGGCCAGCAAATATATTTTTAAAATATATTTTATATGTATATATATGTGTGTGTGTGTGTGTGTGTATATGCATATTTCCCATTTCATCTCACAATGTTTTCAAAAGACATGTATTCAAGAATTGAGATTTAATAAAATTAGTAATTTTTACTGCTTCTACAAGGTAATTCTTAAATAGGCACCCTCCCCCTTCCCCTCCGCCGGCCTCTTTGCAAGTATGTGAACATAAAGAATACAAAGATCTGTGGTACATTTTGGTACCACTGCTTTGATTTATGCTGAGTTTTACCCACCATTGCTTTTATAGCTTTAGTGCAAATGTCAACAAAATGAAAAAGACCAATTATGTGTTAGTATAATTATGAAAATTTTGGCATTAAAGATTGCTTCCCCAAGGTTTCAAGAATCCCTCAGGGGTCCATGGACCACACTTTGAGAACCACTGGCCTACAATTTAATGCTTAATATCTATATAATTCCCTCATTTTCTTTAAGTGCTTGCTTATAAGTTACCTTTTCCATGAGCTGTACTCTGACTACCCTACATAATAATGTAATCTCTTACTACCCCAGCCACTGACCTCCACATTTTACTCTAATTTTTTCTTAGCATCTTCTAACATAATACATGTTTTTAAAAATGTATTACCTATTTAATTTTTTTAAAAAAATCTTTCTTCCACTAAAATATAAACTCCTTAGAGTTAGGAATCTTTGTCTCTTTTTGTTTACTTATGTATTCCAAACTTACAGTGTAATTCACATTAATAGGGCTTAAGACTTTTGTTGGGTAAATTTTCTGTGATTTTCTATGAGAGATTTTATCATTCACATTTTTTGAAATTTTTATTTTCACAATCATATTTTCAAGAATTTTTTTTGTTCTCTGATTGCTCATCTTTAGATAGACTTTTTCTATATAGGTGTTACAGCTTTTTTTATGGACCCAGCAAATTATCTACCTGAGGATTTATAATTTTTTTGAAGTTTTATTTTTTCTGGTGTCTCTGTTTCTTTGTATGTTTTTGTTTTGTTTGTGGTTTGTTTGTTTTAGTCTCTTTTTTACTGGGAGATCTCCTCATATAACTTGTGATCCTGGGCACTCTGGACATACTTAGGAGGCAGACACTAAAAGCTAAATGGAAAATGGGTATAGAGGTGGGTGTATAGACTTGTCCTTTCATGGGCTTCATTATAGAGTAATTGGGTGGCCGAACCATGTCTTCTTTGAGGAATTCAGAATTTCTGTATGTTTTCTGAGACCATTCTGTTTCTCCAGAGACAGATTTTCCAGTCTCCTGCTGCAAAGTGAATAGATTGGGTTGAGGTGTAGAGTAGATAATACTACTGGAGATGTGGGAGCTGGGCATTGGAAGACGACTACAGGTTTTCATCAGTCAGTATGTAAACTTTTATTTAATCTCTGTGATTTCTGTTCTCATGCTTTATTTCAAACTTGTCTTTGATACCCCAAGTTCAGTTTCTGTAGTTCACTTTTTGTTTTTCAGTTTCTCCTTAAAATAAACCTCTAGTCTTTGCTGGCATTGAGAATATTAGACACCTACCTGTAGTCTAACCTCTTTCTCATTTAACTTTTTAAGCTTTCTTTCTGTTTTAGCATCATTCCTCTCCTGTGCCTTCTGTGATAGCTGGCACCTCTGATTCTTGAGGCCCTTTGGGGTGATGATTGGAGGATAAATTAGCTTTCTTCTTCTTCTTCTTCTTCTTTTTTTTAAATTAGCTTTCTTCTAATTGGTAGTTCCCTCTGCAGGTATAGAGGTGTCACCTTTCTCTCCTCACTTACAATCCTGTCCACGATATCTTATGGGCATGATTACAGATGTCTGCTGCACTTCTCAGAGATCGGATTTGTATTTCTCTTTCTTCTTTCCCTTGTTTCTGAGAAGACAGTGGCTCAGAAGTGTTTTTATTTGCTCCCTTAAAACTAGAAATCTGTAATGCTGTAATAGCTTCATTTTTTAAATCAGTAAAAAGATACGGATCAGTATGCTGATTTTTTTAACTCAAAAATTTATATTTGCTTTAAATGATTCTCACATTTCTCTGTTTGAGGAAGAGGAGGTCATTGGCAAGGGTGAAGGCATGTTTGTTCGGAAAGGATCCAGTTGTGCAGATTTGTTTTACTAACTTACAGACCCATCTGTTTTGTTAGAAAACTGTTTTTTTTGTTCCTGGGCCCTGGGGTCATCTGTACAGAAGGGCCCAGCAGAGAAAATAGATAAGTATTTTCAGAAGGTTATAGTTTATGTACTGGCAATCTTTAAAATAGAGGTAAAGAGAAAATTCATCTTAAGTACTAGAACCTTAAAAAAGCTGTCATTACTCTTTATTTGTGGCACATCTAAATTTAGTACACAGCTCTTATCTGAGGGATACTTTAGGTTGCTGATTAAAAAAAAAAAACTTGGGGCATTTGGGTGGCTCAGTTGGTTAAGCGTCTGCCTTTGGGTCAGACCATGATCTCAGGGTCCTGGGATCAAGCCCACAGCGGGCTCCCCGCTGCTTCTCCCTCTGCCTCTGCCTGCCACTCCCCCTGATTGTGCCCTTTCTCTTTCTTTCTCTGTCAAATAAATAAATAAAAATCTTAAAAAAAAAACAACAATTCTTAAAAAAAAACTTTAAGGAATATAGAATCAGTACTGATCATGGCAATAAAAAGAGCGAACATCTCTGTGCTTACTGTATGTCAGGTACTGTTCTAAGATGCTACATGCATTCTTACTAATTTAACAGTACTGTTTTATCCCTCTTTTATAAATGAAGAAATTGGATTTCAGAGATGTTAGGTAATTTTCCCATGGTCATACAGCTAGTGAATCTAGGACTGTCTGATTTGAGAAAGGAAGGATCATAGAATTTGTCTAATTTGGCCTTTGTTTCACAGATTTGGAAACTGAGTCTCAGAGAGGTGAAGTGATATGCTCATTTCACAACTAAGTAGTTGTAATATTAATGCTAGAGGGACTAAAACCTGTTGTCATGTATGTGGTTTTTCTTTTTTTGTAATTGAAGATTCAGGGTTTCAGTACATTAAGAAGTACAGTTTATTAGTGACTTTCATTTAAAAATCCTTCAGATTTCTTTTTGTATTTTCTACACCTTTAGTCCTCAACTGATTATTAGATTTGTTTCCAATAATGTACATGTAATAAGTAGGGTGAGGTTTATTTCAGTTGGTTCATATTTCATGATCATATTAAACACCTAACTAAAGCATCTTTACTTCCCTTAGCTTTGGTATGCCTTTTTTGGGTGTGTTATGTGTGTGATTTAAACATAGGGGATCTCAAATATGTATTTCATTACTCTTAAAAATTTTAAATTACCACATATCTTATTTAATGTAAGATGAATTGGAGGGGCGCCTGGGTGGCTCAGTCAGTTAAGCGTCCGATTCTTAGTTTCAGACCAGATCATGATCTCAGGTCCTGAGATCGAGCCCTGTGTTGAGCTCCCTGCTCAGCAGGGAGTCTGCTTCCTCTCTTCTCTCTCTCTCTCTCTTCCTCTTTCCCTCCCCCAGCTTGTGCCCTCTCTCTCTCTCTCTCAAATAAATAAATAAATCTTTAAAAAAAAGATTAATTGGAAACAGTTACATGTTCATATATATGATCATAATTTTTTAAAACAATAGAATGTTTTAATTTCTCTGGTATTTTTATAGCATTAGTTTTGTTTTAAAATGGGTTTCTATATTTTCCTAAAGAAACTCAGTCTTAGAGAAAATTGTTAAATATTGGCTCTTTTCTTCCAGGTTTCACCTTGCTTAAATGTCTTGTCACGATTGTTGTTTAGCAGTGACCCAGATGTATTAGCAGATGTGTGCTGGGCCCTTTCTTATCTTTCTGATGGACCCAATGATAAAATTCAAGCAGTCATTGATTCTGGAGTCTGTCGAAGATTGGTGGAACTTTTGATGTAACTACAATTTATGATTAATAATTGTATGATTGTGTATTAAATTTAGCAGTTAATGGCTTTATAAATATCTCGAGAGTGACTATCTTCAGAAGAATTGAAAAGCCATCAACCCCACTTTTCAGAATAGCTGTAATGCTGAAAAGTTGACCTTTTTAAATTTGTATCTCATCCTTTAGTTGGAACTAATAATTTTGTGAATGTATTTCATTAGTTTTAATCTTTTTATGAATGGCAGGGACTTAATTCAACAGGTATATATGGAATGCCTGTTACCTGCTAGAGTATTATACAACATATTGTTAATGAAGTACAGAACTCGGTACCTGCTCTCACAGAACCAGTAATCTAGTTAGTTGTTCATTACAGTAACTAATTTGTGTACAAGTTCATGTAGTGAAAACATTTAGTATTTCACTTGTTTTAATATTTCACTTGCTAGGCTATTATTGCTACCTTCTTTAAAAAGAACAGATTTTTTGTATAAAAGAAGTTTAAAAACTTGTAAGAGAATTTGTTTTAAAAGGATAGTTTATCTTTTTCTTTAAAAAGATTTATTATACTACTTCCTTTTGTCAAAAAGCCATTAGGTAGGCTCAAACAAAGCAGATGGCACAAAGAAGAAAGGTCTGATAAGGGGTTGTGGCTCTAGTCCAAAGACAACATCTGAGGAGGGTAGGCAGGCAGGTCCAATGAGGGGATCAGGGCTCAAGCTTGAGTATGGCACCCACTAAAGCAGAATAGCAAGCAGGCTGGAACAACACATGATGGATAACAGCCTAGCTGGATCAGAAGCCAGTTTCTTATTCTAAGAGAATGGAGATACAAATACGGAAAGGAGGAAAACCAGAATAATCTTATGGTATTAGATTAGAACTGGAGATATCAATGTGAACTCATGGCTTTCAACATAAAGAGATGTAGAAATAAATAGATATGTGTGTGCGTGCACGCACATGCGCTCTTAAAGGCCCTGTGAGCAGTGACACTTCTGTACTAAAAAGCTGAACACACCAAATCTTGGTTTTTAAAAACTGCTCTTCATTAACAGGAACCAAAATTCTTGGATAAATGGCTGATTCTAGGGCTGGCATTGAGAAAAAATAAGGTGACCCCATAAAGTATTAAGTGCTCAAAGAATGGAGAAATATCAAAAGGACACTTAGAAACCCACTTAAGGGGACTCCAACCATTCAAACTTCCAAACTTCGGATGATTTGAGCATTAAAATAAATTATGGTAATATGTTATGAGTACTGAATAAAATAGGAATCCATGAGTCCACACTAAAATAAGTAGGTACATCAATAGATAGACTGAAAAAGCATATAATGATGGTATTACAAAATTATCATTGGCAACAATATTAATAATAATTCAGACAATACACATCAAGAAGTGGTGAAAGTAGTGGTTGGTGAAAGTGGGATAAGGAATGGGATTTAACATAGTCTAAAAGAATATCCTCTCAAAAATATTAATTATAAAGGGAAAAACAGTAATGTTGAAGTAGAGAAATCTGACAGGCACCATTTTAAGTGACGAGTTCAGTGCTACTATTGTGGACAAAACAGGTATCAGATGCTATCCTATGTAATGAAAAGATGGTTGCATTTGTGATATCCTAGCTAAAAGTATATAATTTGTATCTTAATCATGAGGAAACATTGGACAAAACCTAATAATTCGTTTATGATCATTATAAATGTCAAGATCAGGAAATAAAGGAAAAAATAGGAACTGTTTTGAATTGAAAGAGACTAGAGACATGACAGTTGGGTCTAATATATAGATTCTTTATTACAGAAGTATTACTGGCATAATTAGTGAAACTTGAGTGGGATCTCCGGGTAAAGAGTATACAGGACTATTTTGTATTATTCTTGCAATTTTTTTGTAAATTTTAACTCTTGCATAGTATGTAAGTTCATATTTTTATTATTTTTAGGCACAATGATTATAAAGTTGTATCACCTGCATTAAGAGCAGTTGGTAATATTGTGACTGGTGATGATATTCAAACACAGGTGAGTTCAGACTTTAATATGATAAATTGTTAAGATAATGGATTTTGAGAAATTTATCAAGTTTCATACTAGATACTTCATACTTGGTTAAATATTAATCAAGACTTTAGCATTACCATAACTATATAGGCATCTATAATGTGACAGCATATTCTTGATGATAAGTGCTCAACCTCGAATACCTGTATGTGAAAGCACTATCCTAGATCTATATAGATATAAAGAAGTACAAGGTAGGAGGTTGGCTCTTGAGGGATTTATAATAAAATTGAAGAGAAAATATATATTAAAGCAAAGCAAATTACCCAAGTTAGTGTATGTTTGCTGAGAGTTGGTTGGTCAGTAAACGCTATAGAAGTTTAAAAAAGAAATCACTATGCTGAGAAATCTTTGTAGATTCCATAAAGAAGTTGGAATTAAAGCTATATCTTAAAGTTGGGGAAGAACTTAAGTAAACTAGAAGAGATTTATGTGAACATAGGTACAAAGGCAGACATGTGTGGGTTGTATTTAAGAGACATTAAGCTTGACCAGAGAAGGAACTGTTAGTGAAAGGGTGATTAATTATAAATAGTTTAAACATGGGGTTGGTTGGAAGCGGGAGGTCCTTTTATAGTAGATTGAAGACCTAGATTATGGGAATGGAAGGAAAGATAGAAAGGAAACATTTTCCTGGTTAGTAACTATGTGTGTGTGTGTCTGTGTGTCTCTCTGTCTTTTGGAGGATGGTGAGATACCAGAAAAGGTGTAATGTCAAGATTGACTTTAGATCTGGAGCAATCTTTCTTGAAGATAGAAACTTAAACTCTAACACATTAGATTCTCCTTTGCTTGCCACCATAACTTAAACTTTACTCTAATTTACATATCATCTTTCAGGTTTAATCTTATTTAATCCTATTTAGATATATTAGTTATTAAATAGTTGATCCTTAGTAATTTGATAGTTACTAATTTAAAATATCTCTTTAAATGAGAATGCCCTTCTAAACATAACACTCTTCAACAGAATTTTGGTACACTGTTTCATACATTCTTCACCAAGTAAATTTAATGTAAATCATTGTGGGTATTCTGAAAATAGGAACATAATTAATTATGCCATGGAATGAAGAATGTAAAGGGACAAAGCAGAACATACTTCTTTACAAAAGAAAAGTGGAACAGTAAAAAATTTTAATGAAAAAAGTTGACTTACTCTATACATTGAGGTTTCTTACCAGTTATGGAATTAGGTACTTTCAGACTGTTTCATCATCTTTTTTTCATCATCTCATTTGGCAAAACTAGAGTTTGGATCCTGACCAGTCACTAAATCTCTCTTGAATTGTCCTATCAGTTGAATTCTTGAGTGTATTCGTAAACATGAAGGACACACCTCTGGTGTCCTGCTTATTCTCATTTTAGTGGTTTGACAGAGCACTTTACTGCACCAAGTTTTGGTTAAGTGGAAAGAGTAGAAGGTAGCAAGTACCTAAGTTTTACTTTGAGAGGAATTTCTTTTTTCTTAATTTAGTTTTTCAAGAGTGATTTTTGTATTTTTATAAATCAGTCTATCTTTCTGTAGTTTTTTGCTATAAAACTTTGTTTCCATTTCTGATTTTTGTTTCAGGTAATTCTGAATTGCTCTGCATTACCGTGTCTCTTACACTTATTGAGTAGCCCAAAGGAATCAATCAGAAAAGAAGCCTGCTGGACTGTTTCTAACATCACTGCTGGAAATAGAGCTCAGATTCAGGTAAATACCTTTCAGATCTAAGAAAACAGGAAGATCTCTTGAGTCAGTTTGGACAAAAGTCAGCATTTTATCAGTGATTTTTTTTTTTTTTTAAATGAGTTACTTAAATTCTTGAGAAGGATTTTACAGAACATGGCCTTTTCTCCTCTAAAATAATAACATTCATTTATAGTGGTCTAGGGAGGAATTGTGTGTGGGTGTGTGTATAAAATTGCCCACGGTGCTGGACACATATGGCTAGTCTTAAAAAGGGATTGATTTTTATTAGTTTTAAATAAGTTAGGTAATAATCTTCCTCTCAAAACTTTTAAGTAATGATTTATTAGAGTCTTATCAGGCTTCTTGAGTCAAAAATTACTTATCCATTTTGATCAAGTATCTACCTTGTGCTTTATCATCTTTATTTTTTTATTTTTTTTTTTAAGGATTTTATTTATTTGAGAGACAGAGTGAGAGAGAACATGAGCGGGGTGAGGGGCAGAGGGAGAAGCAGATGGGGAGCCCTATTTGGGGCTCAGTCCTGGGACTCTGGGATCATGACCTGAGCCGAAGGCAGACGCTTAACCAACTGAGCCACCGAGGTGCCCTTGCTTTATCATCTTTAAAATTAATATTCTGTTAATATATTTTCCAGTCTTGAAAGTATGAAAGTTTGTTGAAAGATTAGAAAGAGGGGCGCTTGGGTGGCTCAGTCTTTAAGCTTCTGCCTTCGGCTCAGGTCATGATCAAGGGTCCTGGGATTGAGCCCTCCATCAAGCTTCCTGCTCAGCGGGAAGCCTGCTTCTCCCTCTCCCACTCCTCCTGCTTGTGTTCCCTCTTTCCCTGTCTCTCTCTCTCTGTCAAATAAATAAATAAAATCTTTAAAAAAAAAAAAAAAGAAAGATTAGAAAGATTTCCAAAGATTTTATTTCCAAAAAGCGTGATGTGACATTTTAAAGCCATTGGGTCTTACAATTTCTCTACTTAATAACATTTTTAAAACAGTATTGGCACTGTTTATCATTTTTCCTCCTTAGGCTGTTATAGATGCAAATATTTTTCCTGTTTTGATTGAGATTCTTCAGAAAGCAGAGTTTCGCACCAGGAAAGAAGCAGCTTGGGCTATAACTAATGCAACATCAGGAGGTACTCCAGAACAAATAAGGTGTGATACAGAGTTTTTTAATTTTTTTTTTAAATGTAAATGGGACAAAATGAAGTACTACGTACTTTTTATTTGTTGATGAAACCGAAACATTATTTCTAAGTCATTTTAATGTGAAATGAAAGCATTTGTTACATCAGTTGTATTATTCATTCACAGTAGTTTTTGTTTTGTTTTGTTTTTTCAGTAAAGGATAATTAACATCACTTGCCTTGGCAGACTATTTATGAAAAATCAGAGATTAAGAATCTGAAAAAGAACAGTTTATATTAATTTGCAAAATATACTCTGATGGACATTAAATATTTTTTATACCATTAGAGTCACGTGCATGTGACTTTATTATATAAAAATGACTAATGATTTGAACATCCACTTATTTAAAATAATTATTAAAAATAAAATTAAATACTGAAATAGACATTTGTTTGTATAGTGATGTTCTCCTAGTCAGTTGTTAGCCTTACCTGTGGATGGTATCTTTTCTTTCTCTATACTAGTTTTCTTTTTTATGGTAGCTTTTTTGATAGGCCTTTTGTTGTTTACTTGTTTCTTTTACTAACAACATAAATACTAGGTACATGGGCTTTGAAGTCAGGCTGCTTTAAAACCCTGTTCCCTCAGTAAAGGTTGTGTGACCTTGACAAAACCATTTTACCTATCTAATCCACAGTTTCTTCATTTTTTAAATGAATTTGATTAACAGATAATACCTTATGGTAGTCTCTTGATAATTAAATGGGATTCATACATTTAAAGTGCTTTACATGGTGCCTAAACATTAAGTTCTCTACTAAGATTAGCTGCTATTATCGTTATTTGTAACCATCACAACTTTTATGATCAGAATTGATTCCTAAATTTCTTATTATCTTGTGCTTTTATTCTCTTTTCCCCCATAGCAAGGTTCTACTTTGCACTTGTATAAAAGCTTGACTTCCTACAGAATTTTCTTATTCTATGGATTTGTCTGTGAAACTCAGGACTTTTTAGGTTTCTTGAAGTGACTGTTTAGGAAGTATTTTCTGATGAGTATTTAATTTATGTCTTAATTTATAAAACAATAAATAAGGCTACTAGCTATTTTAAAAAATCACTGAGAGGATTTTGAAATAACTTGTTGTGAGATCTTTGTCTTATTGCCTTCATTTGTGCTATTATCTTGGTGTCTTAGATTTATATTTCTATATGTTGATAACATCTCTTCTGCTTTTTATTTTCCATTCTTCCTCTTTCCATTACATTTCCATCTCATTATGTTATGAATATAAAGAGTAATAAAACAAGATCTTCCCCCTGTTCTAACTTGCATTTTTTTATAAACTAATATAATTTTTATCTGCTTTGGGAACCAAAGTTTCTTTGTTCACCTACAAATAGTTGTATTTTTTCAAATTATTTTCATTATTATGTCTAGTCCATATATTATTACTTAAATTTATTGATATGAATCAAGTGTCCAAACTGAGATCATTATTTTTTCTAACCATTTTCACCATTTCATTAATTCTACATATATGGGAGGAGATCTTGATCTCAGATTGATTTCAGCATGTGTACCACTAATATTTATTGAATGTCTGATATTGCCAGTTGTTGTGCTAAGTCATTTCAGTTATTGAGTGCCAGGATAGTATCCAGTACTGTCATATACTTTATGTCCTTTAACTTCATACAGCTATGAGATATTCATTCAACAAATATACTGATTAGTTATAGTATAGTATATGGCAAGTGAGTGCTCTAGTGAAGGTATGTACTTTTTTTTTTTAAAAAAAAGGAAAGTGGAAACTGACTTTTATTGAATGCTTAACTGTATGTTTATAGCAACTCTCTGAGCTTGGTACTGTTATTATCCCCATTTTAAGATGGAGAAACTGAGGCACAGAGCAGTCACTCCAGGTCACACAACTAATAAGGAGTGGAGTTGGGACTTGAAGCCATGCAGTCTGGCTTCAGTACATCATTTTTTCCTTTAGCCTTAATGGACTTTTTTTCCAAGGAAATAAATCAGTCACTTTATATTATAGAGAATGGAAAAGAGCTAATAAAAACTAGAAAAAGACAAAGTATTAAAAAACGAGTGGAATAACTTTCGTGAACATTGTTTATTAAAATTATTCACAACATAGCATGTTTTGCTCCTAGAAGCCTTTTTTTTTTTTTTTTTTATTGTGTTATGTTAGTCGTAGAAGCCTTCTATATGCTTCTGAAGCACAGGTGGTATTTTAGAACATCAGCTATGATTGTTTTTGTGGGAAATTTGATTTGAATGTCCCTTCTCCCTCTTCATTTCTACCTACTCCCATATGACCCCAGTGTGTGTACATAGGCTCACCTTTAAATAGTAGCACCTTGAAGCCACTGTTATTCTTAGTACTACTCATATGCCATGCAGAAACAGCCCAAGTACCGATTTGCTTGTATGTATATTTTTGTAATATTTGTTATCTCATTTATTGCTAATTATGTTAAATGAAAATAGGAGAGTAGAAAGAAGTTTTCAGGTTCCTATGTCAGTGAAAATTTAAATGTTTTAATGTTTGAGTTTGTATAAAAATACTTTTCTTAATTGTTTGTAGAACATTTCACTGAAGAATATTTGCTATAAATAATACTTAAGTCTCTTTAAATGTTTTTTTTTTTTCTCTACTTTTTTTTTAATCACTCTGAAGGTATTTGGTAGCCTTAGGTTGCATTAAACCACTTTGTGACCTATTGACTGTTATGGACTCTAAAATAGTCCAAGTGGCTTTAAATGGACTTGAAAATATTTTACGTCTTGGAGAACAAGAATCTAAGCAGAATGGAATAGGCATTAATCCATACTGTGCTCTCATTGAAGAAGCATATGGTAAGCAGTCAGTTCAAAATGTATCATTATAGTCAAGTCTTTTTGTTTTTAATTGATATATAACATTACAAGTTGGTCTCAGGTGTACAACATAATGATTCAGTGTTTGTATATACTGTAAAACTATCATGATCACCATAATAATTCTAGTTAACAACCATTACCATACATAGTTACAAAATGTTTTTCTTGTGATGAGAACTTTTAAGATTTACTCTCTTAGCAACTTATAAATACATAATACAGTATTATTAACTATAGTCCTCATGCTGTACATTATATCCCCATGACTTTATAACTAGAAGTTTGTACTTTTTGACTTCCTTCACTCATTTTGCCAACTTGCCCCACTGGCAACCACCAGTCTGTTCTCTGTATCTATGAGCTTGTTATTTTTTTGTTCTTGGATTTTACAGATATGTGAGATTATATGGTATTTGTCTTTCTCTGTGTGGCTTATTTTATTTAGCATAATGTCCTCAAGGTCCATCCATGTTGTCACAAATGGCAAGATATCATTCTTTTTTATGGCTGAATAATATTTTATTATATACATATATACCGTTTTTTTTTTTTTTAATCCATTCATCCATCAGTAAACACTTACGTTGCTTATATATCTTGGCCACTGTAAATAGTGCTGCAATGAACATGGGGGTACAGATGTCTTTCTAGTTAGTGTTTTCATTTTCTTTGGATAAATACCCAGAAATGGAATTGCTAAATCATGTGGTAGTTCTATTTTTTGGGGGTAGTTTAATTTTTTGAAGAACCTCCATAGTAGCTGCACCAATTTACATTCCTACCATCAGTGCACCAGGGTCCCATTTGTTCCACATCTACACTTGTTATTTCTAGTCTTTTTGATAATAGTCATTCTAACCGATGGTGAGGTAATTATTTCATTGCAGTTTTGATTTAAATTTCCCTAACGATTACTGACGTTGAACACCTTTTTAGGTACTTGTTGGATATCTGTCTTCTTTGGAAAAATGTCTTTTCAGATCCTCTGCCCATTTTTTAACCAAATTGCTTGTTTTTGGTGTTCAGTTGGTGCTGAGTTCTTTATATATTTTGGGCATTAACTCCTTAAGGTATATGACTTGCAAATATTGTCTCCTGTTCTGTAGGTTATCTTTTCATTTTGTTGATGGGTTCCTTTGCTGTGCAGAAGCTTTTTAGTTTGATGTAATCCCCACTTGTTTATTTTGACTTTTGTTGCCTTTGCTTTTGGTGTCAAATCCAAAATATTGCCAAGACCAGTGTCAAATAGTTTATCACTAATGTTTTCTTCTACTTTTATGGTTTCAGACCTTACATTCAAGTAATGTATTCAGAGTTTGTTTTGTGTATGGTATACATTAGTGGCCCAGTTTCACTCTTTTGTGTGTGACTGTCCAGTTTTCCCAGCACCATTTTTTTTTAAGAGACTGCCCTTTCCCCATTGTATGTTACATTCTTTGCTTCTTTGTAGTAAATTAATTGATTTTATATGTGGATTTCTTTCTGGGCTCTCTATTCTATTCCACTGATCTGTTTTTATGCCAATAAGTTTTGATTATTATAGCTTTGTAGTATAGTTTGAAATCAGAGTATGATGCCTCCAGCTTTGTTCTTTTTCATAAGATTGCTTTGAGCTATTTGGGGTTCTTTGTGCTTCAATATAGGGGCACCTGAGTGGTTCAGTTAAGTGTCTGCCTTCATGCCCTCAGCTCAGGTCATGATCCCAGGGTCCTGGAATCGAGCCCCACATCGGGCTCTTTGCTCATTGGGGAGTCTGCTTCTCCCTCTCCCTCTCCCTCTGTGGGCTCTCTCTCTAACAAATAAAATCTTTAAATACATATATATTCACATAAATTTTAGGATTGTTTGTTCTATTTCTGTGAAAAATGCCATTGGTATTTTGATACAGAGTATATTGAATCTGTAGATTGTAGATTGCTTTGGGTAGTATGGACATTTTAACAATATTAATTCTTCCAACCCATGAGCACCGAATATCTTTCCATTTATTTATATCTCCTTCAGTTTCTTTCATTATAGTTTTCAATGTACAGGTCTTTCACCTCCTTGGTTAAATGTATTCCTAGGTATTTTATTCTTTCTGATGCATTTGTAAGTGGGATTATTTTTTAATTTCTCTTTCTGATAGTTTGTTATGGTTGTATAGAAATGCAATAGATTTTTGTACTGATTTTGTATACTGCTACTTTACTGAATTCATTGATTAGTTTTAAGTTTTTTGGTGGAGTCTTTAGGATATTCTATATATAATACCATGTCATCTGCAAATGGTGACAGTTTTACTTCTTCCTTTTTTAATTAGATGGCTTTTACTTCTTTTTATTGCCTAATTGCTCTGGCTGGTACTTCCAGTACTATTCTGCAATGATATAACTGAAGAGGTTTACCTGTAATTAAATGAAAAATATATTCAGCATCACCCAGACTTAGTGTAGATTTTTCTTCTTTTAAGCAATAAAATAGAATGCTCTAGATTTTGCTTATTTTGTAAAAATAGGCTTTTTCAGTTTCACTTATAGTTTGTACTTTTGGTATATATACAATAGCTACATGGATTTGTAAATAGTACTCATTCCATATTGATCTCCTCTGGCTCTTTCTCTGAGAGAATGTGTGTGTGTGTTAGTTTGCTCACCTTTTAGTTTCTTCATTTGTGTTTGTTTTGGTGCTTATCCTTTTTGTGCTTTTTATAAATAGCATAATTACTCTAGAAAGACCTTTGGAGTTACATACTCTAAAACTGTCATTTTAAAATTGAGAAACTAATGTATAGAGAAACCAAACTTATTTGGGCAAAATGACACAGCTAGCAAGGTGGAGTCTGTGATCTTTTTTTTTTTTTAAAGATTTTATTTATTTATTTGACAGAGAGAGCGAGAGCAGGAACACAAGCAGGGGGAGTGGGAGAGGGAGAAGCAGGCCTCCCGCCGAGCAGGGAGCCCGATGAGGGGCTCGATGCGGGGCTCGATCCCAGGACTCTGGGATCATGACCTGAGCTGAAGGCAGACGTTTAACGACTGAGCCACCCAGGCGCCCCTGTGATCTTTTTATTCCCAGGCCTGTGCTATTTCCTCATACCACAGTGCCTTACGCTGTCATTCTTGAAGTTTAAGACATAAGTGGTGTTGGCTATCAGTATATGCAAAAATTAGATAAGAATAACAACCCCATTGCTGATGGACTGACAGATGCTATTGATTCATTATTTTGGTTCAAATATCTGATGAAACTTGAGTAACAATTTTCTTCATATATATATATATATGTATAAAACAGGTCTGGATAAAATTGAATTTCTGCAAAGCCATGAAAATCAGGAAATTTACCAAAAGGCTTTTGATCTGATTGAACATTACTTTGGTGTAGAGGAAGATGACCCCAGCATTGTACCTCAGGTGGATGAAAGTCAGCAACAGTTCGTGTTTCAGCAGCAGGAAGCACCAATGGAAGGGTTTCAACTTTAACTTGGTGGAGGAAAAATTAATGGCTACAAAGGATAGTTTCAGAGATATCTTCTTTGTTACAATGTCAGTAGGAATGTTTGATGTGTTTTTACTTAGAACAGAAAAGAAAAAGTTGATGCACTTTTAAAAAGCAAAACAAAAAAGTTTCCATTCAGATGCAATCTTTCATTATAGTTTTGTTTTTATTTTGGTGTACCTATATTTGTGTTTTTATTGTTTTGTCTATTTTTTGTAACTATTTGTGAGCAATTAAATACATATGAAATTATTTAGTAACTTCAGCTTGAAAAAGAGAACTTTGGGTAAAGTATTACATATGGTTCTGAATTTTTTCTAGCATCTTGGAAACTGCACATTAGCAGTACAGCTGATAATTGCATTTTGGCAGTAAGTCTGACACGCCCAATCTACTAAATCTACCTCTATCTTGAAGCAAAAACAAAAAAGCTTCAGAAGCATGAAATAGTGTAAAAGCTAAATTAGAATGTGAAAATATCTATTACCTTAAATTATAAATCACTGTGCTGTAGGTTATACTTTGCAAAAAAAAAAAAATTACAACAGAAAACCTGTAAAATTTATTTATAAAACATGTAAGTATTGTACTGATAATCAATTAAAATGTGGCAATTGTGAAGAGAAAAGCTGTTCTTCATGTTGAACACATTAAAATGATTACACAACATTTAAATATTTGTGTTTTTAACATGTAAATGCTATTATATTAGTATATTTTGTATTTTGACCAAATATGCTACCATTTTTGAAATAGTGTTTTATTATTTTTTCACTCTTCATTTTAAAAAGCATCATGATAGAGATGCCATCATGAATCTAAAGTAGTGCTGCATAGCAAAAATAATACTGTAATTCTTTCTCTGATTTTTTCAGAGCAGTAATTGAAAAGTTTCACTTTTTGTGTAATAATAAACTTAGGTACTTTGACAAAATTATCCTGAAGAAATCACCTTGTTAATGTGTTAAATTTTATTAAATGCTCTTAATGTTTGGACACTAAAGGATGACACTAATGAAAATTGCTAAGGATTCTTTAATATAGTTGAAATCTATATTAGGAATTTTTTTTTCATTTTTCATAATACTTGGGAGGGCCATACTGCTGCTTGTAAATCAGTGTATTAAATTACATTTGTATCAGATTGGTCAATATAATGTATGTGTTTTACGTATTAACAGCAAAAACCTCTTCAAAACATGAAACTTTTAAAAAAAAGTTTCAGTAGAAAAAGTATATATATATTTATTTATAGATACATATGTAAATGTTGTCTGTGTGTTATTCTCACAGTGCTGTACTTGGTAGAGCTTTCTAAGCAGATATGGTACTGTTGAACTCAGTCTTTTCATTTATAGTTATATGCAGGCTATTTACACTTCCAATTATATACCTAAAATACTTATTTACAACTGTTTTAAGATGGGAACTAAAGCATTTTTGATATTATTCATAGTCTATTCTGTAAAGAAAGATTTCATTTATGATAGCATTTATAATGTTTCTGCTGGAAATCAGAGGCATGTTACAAGAAGAAATTGTATATAGGAGTACTTTTAAATAGTATGACACTTTGTAAATTATGTATCATGAAATTATGCTTTTGGCAAGACACTTAAAACCTACAGCTATAAAATACAGGTTTAAATGGTGTCCATAATGCTGACTGTATCTGCCAAACCTCTTTTATATTGTTAAGTAGAGGATTGTATCTGTGCCCATTTTATTGTAGTGGAAGTTATAAAGTTTAGTATAAAAAGTTTTTCTTTTGCATTATGTATAGTCAAAAGAACAGGGTAGTTATATCAAAGATTACCAAATTGATGGTGAATTTATGAGATAAACATTTTTTTGTGGTACAGATGGTTCTAAGTATCAGGTGACAGGGTATTCCACTCTTTCTAACCGAACTTGATAATGCAGCATAATTCATAAACTAACCAGCTGTGCCTGCTTTTATTTTGAGGACCCTGTAGTCACATTAAAAAAAATCTAAGCCAAGTCTTTCAAACAAAATGGTTCTTATAGAAGGAAAAATAATATATATGTGTGTACATACCCACACACATATAAAATGATTTTTGAGGGGATAATTTTTAAATTTTGCCAGTAAAACAAACCTTGTATCTCTAAATACAGAGTATGACTATATTTTAAGCATCTAAATTTAGAATTATATTTAATTTCTTAGATTTGTTATTTGGGTAATTAATTTGATTAGATTTGAATGCAAGAGGGAGTTTCTGTCTAATAGTTGGGACCAGTTATGGACATGATGATGATGACTTCATTGAACCAAGACTAGCAAATACTTTGTTACTAAAATTTTTTTTATATATGGCTACTCTTTTCAAATAAAATATTTAAAATGCTCCAAAATATATTTTCATTAATCTTCACTTACCCTTATGGAAAAAAATTTCTTTTTTTTATCTTGCTTTCCTAATAAGATATATTTAAATTCAAGAGAAACTGTCCCAAAAAAAAAAAAAAAATTTTAAAACATCTTGTAAAGGGGAAACACATGCAACATTAATGCAAAAAACAAAACACTTGAAAGAGCCTTTTACATTTATTTAATTAAATTCATTGTTTTATTTTGTCTGAATTTGAATTTGTACTAGTTAATCTATGCAATTATGCTTGTTTTATATTTGTAAGTACTTGACTCACTAGCCTGGTTTTCTTTAACAAGTTTTATTTTGAAAGGTGTTCCTAGAACTTAATTTTTAGTGTCATTTTGTTCACTTAACTGGTAGCACCAGAACAAGAAAGCAAAAACAACAACAACAACAACAAAAACCCTACACACACACATAAAAAATCTGCTGGCACAGAAATAACATCATTTGGTAACTGTAAAACTTATTTGCAAGGTAAAGTTGATTTATTGAATAAAGGACTAAAAGAAGCATTACCTTTGCCTCATATTTTTTCTTAAGAAGGAGCATTATGGGAAAGGTAACTCTAATACAAAGTCTTAGTGAATTTTTGTTGCTGTTCTGAATTCAACAATCTACTGGCTGCTTTGTGAAACTGTGAAATCAAAGTAATTGTTGTTAACCTTTACTCATTTTAGTTCATAGCATTACTGTTTTATGAAATGTGACATTAGGAGCCAATATGGTAGGGCTCTACAAGGATAATGTGTCTTTAAATTCTGAATTGGGGAGTGGGATGAGGGGAGGATATTCTTGCCTAACTAAATAAACCAACATTTGAGCAGTATGCAATATTATGAAATGTTACAGCACTATATTAAAAATAATAAAATACTATTTTACAGTTGCATTTATATAAATGTGTCTGTTTCATTTGTTCTCAGGATGGTGTATTCCTAATGGAACAAAAACGATGCCCTCATTGATTAGAATTCCATCCACTTTCTAAAACCAGTCAGATTGTTGTTTGTAGCATATCTGATAAAACAGTATGTTGCTTTTATTTTAGAACATATATTCTGCTATATATCAAATTTGTCTTTGTATTTCAAGCTTTGGAAGTTACCAGACATTCACATGTTTTGAGATTATTTTTTCCTTTACTGTTATTTTAATGCAATATAATGCATTTATTTAAGGGGTAGAGTTTTAAACCTGATAAATAGAAATCAGAGGGAATGTCCGATTTAATTTATTAATGAACTCTGGGATACATGGTCCACACCGTAGCCAAGCCTAAGCCTCCCTAGCCTAATATTTTTGTTTTCTTCTGTTGCTACTATGTTTTTTGCTTTGCCTGGCTTTTCCTTCAGTATTTGAAACTATGTTAATCAGTAGTGAAAGTAATTGGATCGGTTATTTTTAGGGTACCTTACTCTCAATAAGGCAGTCTGCAATTCTAGTGACAAATGAATTCCTGAAAATGTATGAAGATACAATGTACAGGTCAATCAAAAGACTTAAATATGCAGTGGCATTCCCTTCCCAGAAATTCCTAAGTACATCCTTTAATGATGTGTTTGCTCAATTTTATATATGTTCTTTTTTTAAAACTTTTAAACATTTTTTATTTAAATTCAGTTAATTAACATATATTATTGGTTTCAGAGGTACAGGCCTATGATTCATCAGTCTTATATAATACCCAGTGCTCATTACATCACTGCCCACCTTAATGTCCATCACCCAATTCCCCCATCCCTCCACTTCCCTCCCCTCCAGCAACCCTGTTTGTTTCCTGTGATTAAGAGTTCTTTAATTTCCTTTCCTTTCATATCAAAGAGTTGACTAAGTTCAGTGAGCACATGATTCCCCCTTTTAGCACATCAAACATTTTTTGTATTTGTTTCAGTAGCTTAAGTTTTAGGAAACATGCATCATATCATTATTAATAGCACTTTAACATTTCAGTTTTCCATTCTGGTATGAAATAGAACTTTGAAATAATTGCTGTAAAGCACCACCAGAACTAAAATGTTGACTGGGGGCAACCCCACGAAATAAACAACTGGGAACGCTCAGTAGTTAATGCACAACCATTTTAATTTGGAGACAGTAGGCAGTTGAGGGAATTTAACGTGTAATGCGCAAAGGTGCCTGTTATTTAAAAATTGAATGTTTTAAACTTACAGGCTACTTTTGAGGGATCTCTCCTGTTCTTTTTCAGTTACGGTTAACATGTTTTTAAAATCTAAAATAGCATGACAAAATTTAATACACTTTATTTAGGGTTTTGACGTGACTCACCATTTTCTGAGCATTCCATCTTTTAAATTGTTTTATTATAAAATATACACAAAGAGAATAATGTGAAAGAAGACAGTTTGAATAACAAAATGAACGCTTACATATTCACCACCCAACTTAAATTATCAGTCCTTTGTAACCATTACTCTGGATTATGTTAATAATTCCTATGCTTTTCCTCATTGTTTTATCTCATGTTTATGTATCCCTAAAATAGTTTCCCTTCCCTGTCTTTGAAATGTATAAAATGGGATATTTTACGTATTCCATTATTTTTTTAGCTCAATGTTAACATCTTTTGAGATGCATTCACATTGATGTATACGTCTGTGGTTCATTTTCTTTGCTGTATACTATTCCATTTTGTGACTACATCATGATTATCTGATAAGGTAAGTCTTCTATTTTGTTCTTCTTCAGGATTGTCATAGCTCTTTGCATTTTCACATAAAGAATTCACTTCTCAAATTCGGTTAAGAGCCCCATAGGGTTTTTGGATGAAAATCTAGAGGATAGTTTTGGAGGAATTAACATCTTAATGATACTAACTCTATCCATGAACAAGTTATAGCTTACCATTTACTTAGAGCTTCCTTACTGTATTTCAAAAAATTGTTTTTGTAGTTTTCTTTACAAAGATCATTCACATTTTTAAAGTTTACTCCAAGGTAAAACTCCCTTATGTTTTTCATTGTCGTAAAACAGTTATCTTTTGTTACCTAAAATTTTCCAACTTGCTGCTGGGGTGTAGAAATGTAATTGAATTTTATATATTAATCACATTAACAACCTTGCTAAATTAATTCCAATTTATAGATGATTTGGGGTGTCTGTAGACAATAGTAACTGAATAATGGCATTCATTTCAAATCTTTGTTTCTTTTTCTTATTTTATTATGTAGTATCTCTAGTACAATATTGATTAGAAGTAATAGTAGCAGGCATTTTAAACTTGTTCTTATTTTTTTTAACATCTTTAATGTTGCACCACAAAATATGATGTAGTCAGTGTAGTTTCCCTTGCTTTTTGCAGATTCTTTATTATCAAATTTGCCTACCCAAAATCAAAATTCAGGGCATTTTCAAGGTTATTTGTGGACATTGTGTAGAGTGGTGAAAAAATTGAGTCACCCAGGGCACATGTTCCCAGCTGAGGTTGAACAAAACAATGCTCTGCTTTCCTATTTCAGCTTTCATACTATAAACAACTCTCCTTTCCTGATCTATTTAGTGCTACGTTTCTTGCACCTTTTTTTTTTTTTCTGTTTAAAATGGCCTCCAAATATGCTGAAGTGCTGTCTAGTGTTCCTAAGTACAAGAAAACAGTGATGTGTCTTAACAAAAAACACATTATGTTACCTAGGTTTTGTTTAGGCATGAGTTACGGTTCTGTAGGCTGTGAGTTCAGTGTTAATGAATCATATATATAGTCTTTAAGCAGAAACACACACAGAACAGATTATGTATTTAGTTGACAAAAATGCTACCAGAGGCTCTCAGGAATCTAACCCTGTATTTCCCCAAGGAGTAATGATTTAGTACTTGCTAATTCAGTGTTTGCAGCAACTTTATACGATAATTCCCATGAGTAATGAGAATTGACTGTTTTTTTTGTAGATAGTTTTTGTCAGCTTTAAAAAGTATTCTTATTCCTAGTGTAAGGTTTTTATTTTGTTCTGTTTTTAACTCGAATGGAGTTGAAATTCATCCGGTGTTTTTTCTGCATCATGAATAAGCATATGGTTTTCAATTGTTAATATGTTGAAAAATAGACTTTCCAGTATTGAACCTATTTTAAGATAAACCCAATATGTCATTTACCATTTTATTGCTTTTAAGCTCTAAATGCACCCCTCCTCAACCTACTTTGTGATATTGGTACTGGACCCTGTAAACATTTCTCCTTTGCCAAGTGGCATGATGTTAAGCTTTGTCAGTAGAAGGTACTGGAGAGACATTGAAAGAGGAAGAAGTGTCCTGACCTCTTCCAAGTGTGCTTTTCTTAGTTTTTGCTCCTGTGATGCCCAGCCACTGTGCAGAAGTCTTCCGGGGTTCACCTCCAGTGTGGTTGCAGTGGTACTTCTGCAGGCAGCTTCCTGGTAAGTTTCATTGGCACCTCCAATCAGCTTCCAGCAAGGTCAGTTGGCACTCTTATGGGCAGCTCACTGGAGAGTTACCCCAGTAACCCATCTGTTTTTTTCTTTTCTTTTAGATTTTATTTATTTATTTGACAGAGTAAGAGCATAAGCAGGAGGAACAGTAGAGGGAGAGGGAGAAGCAGACTCCCCGCCAAGCAGGGAGTCTGATGCGGGGCTTGATCCCAGGACCCAGGGATCATGACCTGATCCGAAGGCAGATGCTTAACCATCTGAGCCACCCAGGTGCCCCGCCCCTCCATCTGGTTTTCTAGCAAGTTGCACAAACAGCCAGTAGGTAGTTGCCCAGCTTGTTTCACTGGTGCTCCAGCAGGCTTGCAATGAGCCTTGCAGGCACCCCAGTGGGCAACTTCCAGTAAAATTAAGCCGCACCTTGCAAGCAAACATTCTAGGGAGTTCCTCCAGCACCCCTGAGAGCAACTTCCTGGTGAGTTTTGTCGGCATCTCAGTGGACAGTTTTCTGTTTGCCAGCCTCAGCCTGAGACACCTAAAGAACCTAGCTGCCATCCAGGAATGCTACATACCGACGAGGTCTGAATCTTAGCCTTGG